AAGGTTAGCGCGTATGAGACGGACCTCAGCGACTGCCTCTTCGATATGCTTCCACAGATGTCGGCGCTCGAGAGCCTGAGCCTCAACACCGTGGAACTCTGCAGCACGACCGCGACTCGTTTCCCTTTCGACGCGCCGTCGGCGCTCCGCACGCTCGCACTGGCCGACGTCAGCGTCTCCGAGACGAATCTGGATGTGCTCTTTCAATGGGCCATAAGCTCCACGCACCTCGAGTCGGTCACGTTCCAATGCTGCGAGTGGATTGGCTCTCGGATGCCGTACGTCACGACGACGGTCCAGCGATGCATCGGCGCCGGCGTTCGATGCATGCGCTTGGAAAACTGCGGCATGAATACACGCCACGTGTCGACGTTGGCCAAGGCGCTGCAGGGGACGCAGGTGCGCATCCCTTTCGAGCTCGACCTCTCGAACAACCCATTTCTTATTGCGGGGACCCAAGCCCTGCTCAAGGCGCTTGCAACGTGCACGAACGTGTCGGTCAAGCTCCCATCCGCGCTGGAGTCGCCACTCCAAGACACCGAGCGAGTATACCTCGTCAAAGCACGAGCCGCCGGCGTCACTATCGACGTGTGCGACGAGGACGTTTACATCCACAGCCCACGTGCTCTCAATGCCTAGTTTGAAGCTCAATGTGATCGTCGTATTTTCGTTTCAATTGAATTGTACTGCGCCTTGGAAACACCGTGCGCGTTGGTTTTGGTATGGAATCAAACCGGGCCAACCACAATCTGAAGGTGGGAAGCCCTACGATCAGCAAAGCGAATGTGGTTTTTGGCCTGGCCTGAAGAGGTGTTGGCTACTAATAGTGGAGGGCGGTCGCGAGACTGCTGACCATTGGTGACGACGGTCTTGCTCCTCGCATCATCACTCCTTCACCGTGACACGCCACGTCATTTTTGCCATCCGGATAACAATCACCCCCAACGAGTGTGTACCGTGGTCGAGACATATCTTGAGGCGTCTTGGCGCGACCGAAAGAGAGCTTGAATGATCGTATCATTGGCCTGCAGGGCTCCTTGGTCGTCTCGTAGTTGCCGCCGAGTCCGCTCTTGACGCTCTTGATACGTGCAGTTGAAAATATGCAACTCGGTCGGTGACACCATTTGCAACCAATACAAAAATCAAGTAAAGAAAATATGCTGCTGCACGAGATGGAAAAACGCTTGTTCGGTGACCAATCCCATCCCTCCATTACAATCATTTCGACCAATCCCCGTGCGCCCGGCTGGCTCCCAATCAAATATCAATGGCCCACACCATGGCTCGGCCGCGCGGCAACCCGTCGGCCGTGGGTTCGACGCCCGAGCTCCTGCAGCATATCGCGACGTTTGTTCAGCACGGACCAGCGCTGTTTCGGCTCGTTGACGCGCTCCCAGCAGACGCCAAGTCGCCGGCGATGGCTGCGCTCAGCGCCTTGCGCTCAACGCCGACAATTTGCGTCGATTGGCCCCGCATCACTGTCCTCGCATCAACAAGCGAGGCGACCAAGCAGCACCTTGCCAACATCGACGCTCTCGGCGCCATTGTCGCCATGGGTGCACAAGCCACCAGCGCCGCGCTACTTCACGAGCGCCAAAGCGTCCTTCACTGCGTTGAATTCTGCACTCTGCGAGCGTCCACGCTTAGCGAGGCAACGGCGCTCGGCGGCATCCTGGCTGCATGTCGTCGGCTGCGCATCGTCTCCTCCTATGGCAAGATGGGCTTTGCTGCGGTGGCGGAGATATTTTCCCACTTGCCACTCGGCCAGCTCACGGAGCTCACGTTGCGCGGGAACCATCCTGCCTCTGTTGCATCGAACGTCGCTGCGATGCTGGTGCATGGGCGCTGTCGACGCCTCCACCTCGTCGACTCGACGTTCGGCGACATGAAGCTCGAGGATGTGCGTCATTTGTGTCGGGCCATTGTGACCTGAGAGAGCCTCCGCGACCTCGTGTTCAAAAACGACATCGGTACCCCCCAATACGCTGTAGATGTCCACGCGTGCTTCATGGAGCAGCAGCTTCTGCCGCGCAACCTACGTCGCGTCGACCTCGAGCTGAACATACTCGCCAAGTGCGCCGACCACATAACGCGCTACGCCGATCCAAACCTGCGCCCCGGGCAGCGCCTTGCGTTTGAAGACTGCTCTGCCGCAGACATCGCCTCGTTTCGGATGATGTTGCTGTCCGCCGAGCGACTGGCGCACTTTACGGGGCGCCTGCTGGTGCACGTCGCCAACGAGCCGGGGTTGTACCCATCGCTCGGCCGCCTCACGTCGCTGTGCATGCCGCTGTCAGGACAATCGCCCGACGTCTGGCCTGCGCGCTTTCTTCGGATGCTACCGCATCTCGCGTCGCTCAAGCACCTCGAGCTGCAATATGCAGCGGTGTGCGGTGACTTTCAGCGCGAGCTTACGCTGGGACTGGTCCACTGCACCAAGCTGCAGTACCTCTATGTTTCTGCAAGTAGTCTCGACGAAGCCTTGTGGCTGGCGCACCTGCCGTGCCCAAAGCTGGACGCGCTCCGGGTGCGGTTCCCCAAATGCGCTTCCAGCGACCTCGTGCGACTGATCAAAGGAATCGCTGCCGCGCCGTTTACGCTGCGCTGGCTGTGCGTCGAGAAAGAGTCGTGGCCCAAGGGTGACCGCGCGCGCAACATTAAGACGCTGGCTGCCGCCAACATTGCGCTCGAGTACGTTTCACACGACGTGAATTTGTACCAACAGCGTCGGTCGTACAACTACTGGGACGTCCAGTCGACGAACCACACGCGCCTCGTCGTCTTCGTCTATGAAGGGTAAGCGCATGAAATGATCCATGGATGAGGTAGCACTCATATGCAATCGAATGAGAGTAGGTCCAGAGTCAGTGTTTAGTGATGTGCACGGATCGGATCGACCAAGGTTATCCGCCGGTGCCAGAAGATCGGCTGGGACGCGTGGATATCTCGATATCAAGTACTACGGTTAAGCGGGAATTTCAACCGTTGAGGTCGGCTCCTGCAGGAAGACTCAGTTCTGATCTTGCTTTCTGGTGCGCGCGTGCGAAGGCCGCTCGGTGTGCCAGGACTGGAACCACCTCGCAAGGCGCGGGGAAGACATCACTCATGGGTACTGCAAGTGGACTGCGTAGAGGGGCATGGCAATTCAAAAGCAGGGTGGTGGCCATTCACGACAAAGGGATTGTATACGTTTCCGACTGCGTGTCATCGGCTTGTATTGCAACGCCACGTCATTGCCCATGTGGGCTCGGTCAATAAGAGGTGTGGCATGCAAACCACGCACACAAAACTGGCTTGCTACGCGGTTATTTGAATGGCCGTTGCGAGCAATGACCACGGCTGCTCTGCTGCAAAGGATGATGGTGTGCGAATGGCATCCTGTGAATACATTTCAACGACCGAAAGAAGCCGCCACGGATATTCGATTGAGCTCATGGACGTCGCAGGATGCAATGATGATCGACGTCAGCCCACAGAATCAACACAGCCGACCTTGACGATACCGTGCTCACACAGCGCGACGCAGGCTACGTGCATAGCATCCAGGTTGAATGACGCCTCTTGTACATATCCCCTCACTGCAAAATGAAACAAGATTGGCTTTCATCCAGTGTCTTGATCTTGGCGGGCTTTTTCAAATGGTCTCGAAACAAGGACATGTCCTGTTTTCAAGAGCTTCAACAAGGCGATGACACCCAAACCGAAAACGATTGGACAAAGCGCGCATTTGATTGAAATGGCCAAGGGCAAGAAGATCCAAGCAGGGCCGGCCGCGGACGCCACGCCCAAGGCGCCCAAGGAAGCCAAGGCGCTCAAGGAAGCCAAGCCCGCCAAGGAAGCCAAGCCCGCCAAGGAAACGAAGGTGACCAAGGAAGCGAAGGCGACCAAGACCAAGGCGCCCAAGGTGGACGTCGTCAAGGCGCCCAAGAAGGATGCGCCCAAGAAGGCAGGCAAGAAGGCTGCGAAGGAAGACACGACTGAGGTGATGACGACGGCCGCCAAGTCGGCCAAGTTTGGCCAGAGCTGGAGCAAGAAGGAGGACAAGAAGCTCATCGCTGCCGTCAAAGAGCAGGGCAAGGGCCATCAGGCCAACTGGAAGCTCGTGGCCAAGAGCGTGCCGGGTCGCACGGCCGGCGCGTGCCAAGGCCGCTGGAACACCGAGCTCGACCCG